AAGCTCTGGGTTACCGAGCGTTATGGCATAGGCTGCCAAAATCTTATTGGTAGCCATTGCCTTAACGGCCTTCTCAATTACTTCTACAGGATAATCGAGAAGGTATCTACCTCGGGCAATTTTTAAGAGACAGTGCTCGAGAACACTGTCTCCTAAGTACTCGAGCCATTCCCACTGTGGCCTATGTTGTTATTATTTAGATTCGAATGAGATCAAAAATATCGGTATTATAAAAAACATAGCCAGATTGTTTATTTTTCGTGCCTTTTAAACTATATGTGGTATTAACCTTTTTTTATGATATGTCTTTTTTCAAGAGAAGAATTTTATGGAATCTTCGAATTCTTCCTCTAAAATATTTAAATCTTAAATACGGTAGAATTTCTACTATTTTACATGTTCAAATTAAAAAAAATAATAATTTATTAAAGCTTTTAATAAATCTATAGTATAAAGTTTTAACTTACATTTGCCTGACGGTTTTCTCAAATAAAAAAATCTATCAAAGAAAATAAATTTAAGTAGTGTTTTTTTTCTTCTCTTGTATTAGGCGCGAAAATTTCACCTAAGCTTTTGAGTTCTTTTGACATATAAAAATGGTTTCTAATAAATTTGTGGAAAGGAACTTTAATTGTAAATCGATTTCAGATTTGTTGGATGTTTATTTTTCAATTCATTTTTGTTATCAGTAGTGTTGCATATACTCGTGAATGTTCAGTCGTTGCAATAATAATAGACAGCAATCAGAATCTTATTTACATTTTTTAAGTTCATGAGGTGCTGGAACGTTGCGAGGCATTACACAAGCCATAAGCCAAATGGCATTACCAGGAACTCATAGTAGCTGTAAACATGATCTTTTTACGGTCTTCCTTTATTCGCACTTGCCAATAGAGGTCGAGGAAGAAGAACCATGTGGCACAGCCAAACAGGCTTGCTTATACAATCTCTTCTAATAATACTGTTTATTTAATCCATGATTATGTTCAATTTAATACTTTTATTATCAACTTTTTCGAATTCATCTTATTAAAAATGATAAATATTATAATTTATTGCAGTAGCGGTTTGATCTAAGAACTTATAAAATCCAATAACTTATGACCTATAATATTTAGCAGCTCTGAACTTAATCTTTTAATATTCATTAAAATATTAAAATAAATTCAATTTAATAAATTAAATAATTAATTTAAAGATATATACTGTATAAAAATAAAACCATACTTATATATCGTTAAAACCGATTCTTGCTGACAATTTTATATAATTTTGTGGTTGTCATCATTACAAAATATGTAAAATATTATGCATTAGAGAAAACCAACAACTAAGAAGAACCTTAGACTGCCGAAGCAATATATCATGACACGCTTGATTCTTGGATATTTTAAAAAAAGAATGAGAAATATTCGAACATCTTAAAGAATCAGGAAAATGGCCGAAATATTCAATGTTCCCTTCTGTAACTACAGTATTTTAAATAATAGAATAAGCCTACAGTTTATGATAAAAAAAATGATTTTTAAAAGTTAATATAACTATGTTTAAAAAAAGTAACGTGTAAAAGAAAAAAGACTATCATGAATTAGACGCGTAAAATGTAAATAAATAAAATATATTAAAATTTTTTAAATTCGTGATTTGATTGGCTAATCAGCATATGACACTTACTACGTGTCTAGCGCTAATGTATAAGCGGTAGGATAAAGTACCTGCACGAGCCTGATAAATTTATTCCACTCGGCTGCAAATAAAATTAAAAAGCTTGGCATGCTTTTTACTACATTTTTAACACATTCGGCCCACAATTTTAAAATTGATTATTTTCGGCTCAGCCCGACAAATTCAAAATGCAATATTGATATTCCTTAATAACTATACTACCTACATTACCCCAAACGTTTGTGGAATTATTTTCCAAATTTAGTGACAGTCCTTTTGTACTATGTTAAGCGTCCCGGTTTCTGATTAGTTAATCATAAAACATCTTTCACCTGAGATTAATACGTATTGAATTAAAACATGCACTTAATTCAGTAATTTTGTGATTTGATATACTATATCGATACGTATACTGTATAAAATCAATAAACCTCTTTAAAGCAAATATGTAGATCAATCAGTCGGTCAGTATTGATAAAACTGAAACTTTGAATCTCTTGATTTGTTGAATGCCCGAAACATATTAAATTATACTAAATCAATAGGTTTATTTGAACTTCTAATATTACTAACGCCTTTTTCCTAAAACATTTTTCTTAATAATACCAGTTACTTATTATGTGATAGGCAACGATCTGTATGCTAATTAAACTACTTGTTTGTTTATGTCGATTTTATTATTAAATCATTATTTCATGCTTTAAGATTTCTATCTACATCTGTTGTGCTCTCATTTCTAAATTTAAAAAGAAAAAAAATCGCCGTATCTATTACCTTTAATCTTTCTTTTCATTTGAAAGTCAATAACAAAATATCTATAAAAAAATATTATTATTATTATTATTATTATAGATCATTAAATGAAGCCTCACCAAGCGCAGATCCTATCTACTGCACCATTAACATCCATACATTCAACTAGACTTGACACTCGAACTTTTTATCGCCCTCAATCAAATAGTAATAATAATTCAGATTATTCATTCACTCGAAAAAATCTTGATCAAAGATTTACAACTATTAAAATTCAAGAAACTTTACCTCGTTATCAAACTTCTAGCATTAATTTTGACAAAATTTTTGCACGACAAAACATCTATTCTCGCAGATCACGATGGATCCGCCAAGTATTCGCAACTATTATTTTTATAATAGGATTTATAGGATTATATTTAATATATACCTGGTTTACATGTAACACCAATTTAACAAACCACTTTTTAATATCTCCACGAGTAAATCTAAAAGGTCAAATTCTATTATATCGTATTCTCGGTAATGACCTTCCTCCAAGACATAAACCTGGTCAAACATTAAAAAATTTGAGATTTATATTAGAACATGAATCAGAATTTTTAAATACAAAAAAATGGTGGATACTTAATCGAATTGCGAATCCTGAATATGAAATTGCTATAATTAATCTTTTAAAATTTTATAATCAAAATTATATTATAATTCCTTTTGATGATCAAGAATACTTAAAATATGATTTTCGTCTTGAAGATTTTCCTGAACCCGATTTTTTTCATTCAAATGAATTCATGAATTTTTCTAAAGTTCATAAGTTAAAGACAATTGATTATATTTATTATGAAAAGAATTTATATGCCATAAATAATGTAAGTTATCTATGTTTATTTAATCAATTTTTGAGTATATTTCTTATTAAATTTCTTAAATTTCTTTTTTTTTTTTTTTTTTAGAATGGTGGTAGAAATGCAGCACTCGCTCATGGTAAATCACAACACAATGTTAGTTGGATTTTACCTTTCGATGGAAATTGTTTTTTAACTCCTAATGCGTTTGCTGATATTCTATCACATTTATATAAATGGGGTGGTCAATATAAATATTTTATTGTACCAATGGCAAGATTGATAAATAATTCACGATTATTAGATGGACCTGATACAAGACCTATTACTCCGGAGGAACCTCAAATTATCTTTCGTTATGATTCTGATAAAACTTTCAACGAAACTATGCGTTATGGTAGAAGATCAAAAGTGCATGTCGATTTTTTTCATATATATAATTTATATATATCAACATTAAAAAAAAAAGTTTATAATATTTTAATTAACAAGTATATAATTTTATTTAGTTGGATATGTTATGGCGTTTAGGTGTCCCATCTACAAGCAAAAATTCTGACAAATCTTCTTATCCATGGGAATTTCATGATTCTTACAAAAGCAAAAGTGTCCAATACAAAAAAATTGGTTGGGTTTTTCGTTTATTTTCCGGTCAAGCTTCACAAGAATTAAATAAGAAAGAAGCTGGCGCATTACGTGCGTTTAATCGGTTGTTGGCTGTTCAAGAACTAATAGATAGTATAGATGAACGAATTGCTCGAAAAGTTCACGGCTTTGACCCTCTTCGACTATTTCTTTATGATGAAAATTTATTAAGTCAAGCAAGATTTAATTTTTGGTTAGAAGTTCCGGATGTCGTTGAAATAGTTCAAGTGTTGATCAAACGTGCTGATGAGATATTATCAACTACTACTAATTTATTTGAATCGATACATGATGATCAAGAAGATGAGAATACCCGTGTTCATTTCATGAAGATAAAAGAAAGTGATTACAATTCATTGCACCGGCCAGTTGAATTAATTACGCCTAACTCATTTTTTGAAAATGTAACGACTTTAGCTTTGGCTCATTATTTTTCAAATGATGAGAAATATGCAAGATGGGCTGCCAATTTAATTCGAACTTTCGTTCTTTCTTCTTATGTCCTTGGAAATCGAGATGATTTAGATGTCACTTCTTCTAATTCTGATTTTGATTCCGATAACGTTGAAGGTTATGGTTTCCCAAATTTAAATAAAATTCCACGAATTATCCCAAGAATTTTTAATTCAAGCTCTTTATTTTCAGCCAATATAACCGATTCAGACCCTAGCTTCTTTTTGGATGCGTGTAGACTTCTTTATCGTACAAATATACTTACTCACATAGAATATTTAAACCTTCGAATGTTTGCCTTTGATTGGTTAGATATTCTTATTAATTCTAAAATTACGAGAAAACCTGATCATCGTAGTATCATGCTTGATCTTCGAACATTATCATTGGCAGGATTTGTTGACGATTTAAGACTTTATCTTCGAATAGTTAATCGTGTTAGGATGCGAATTGGAAAACAATTTCATATCTCAAGTAATTTATCAACACAAGAAATAACACAAAATTATGAAATCATGTATGTTCAAAATTTACTTAATACCGGTAAAATTAAATCGTCAGATTATGATAAAACCATTTTTCATTATACATCATTAAATTTACAATACTGGTTACTACTTATACGAGCTGTACAAAATGGACGTTGTGGACCAGATATATGGCAATATACGGCTAAAGATGGACAAAGGATTAGTAGTGCTACTATGGATCATTTAAAGCTATATGTTAATAAGATACATGATATATCTTTAATACATATAGCAAAGACTGCTTATATGATTAACAAATCTAAAAGATGCACATGGAAAGAGCCAAAAGAAGAAATTGAGTACTTTCAAAATTTAACCAATATTGATAACATGAATGTTATTTTTGGAAATCGGTCAGATGATAAAGAATTAAATACAAGGGTTGGGTTAGGAAATGAAGCAAGGCGAAGAGGTTTACCACCTTTTTGGATGCTTGGTGTTGCATAACATTTTTTAATATAATAATTACTCAATTACTCGGAGGATACCATTGTAATGAAATAGCGAATATAGTCTGGAACTAATTTATGCTTTCATTTATGGTAATCCCTGGTAATTATAGACTATCTAGAAACTAGACTAGACTAGACGTTAGGACATTTATTTAGACAAATTTTAGAAAATTTAAAAATTATTGTAATAAGTATATATATATAATTTTCTTATCAAAAAAAGACATTTATGGGGTCTGGTAATCTACAGTATACTAAACTATAAAAGCCATAAAAACTATAAAAACTATAAAATAGTATAATTTTAAAATGTATCAACTTTTTACAGAAACAATGTTTTTAAAATATTTAGTAGGTTTATAGAGCGAACAAAGTTATTGGTCAGATTTTTAAAAGTTTGCTTTGTTAAAAGTTATAGTATTTTAAAGTTTATTTAAAATTGAATATATAGTAATTATAGACTATCAGCACCATATTTTTTTTATTTTTTATCGAACAGTATAAGTTTAACAAACTTCCTTTTTGATAATTAATAAAACGCGAACAAAATTTGTCCATACTCATACATTATC